ATATGTCTAAAAACTTTGGTTTGTAGACTACTTCTATAGATAATGGGAGCTATTTTTTTTTTTAATGTTTTTAAGCAGGTAACTAACATGATCCTATCTATATTTCAGAAAGATTTAAGGATAGGAGAATGCAGAAAGAATAATCAGTGAACAGTTGGCAGATGATGGATGGTGTGGGCTCGACCTAAGGTAGTGACAATGAGGAAGAAGATGATTTGTTTAGAACAAAAAACCAGGAGCCCTTAGTGACTGACTGAATGAGGCAGAAAACTGAATGATTCTGAAACTTCTTCAGTTGACTTTTAATAATTGGTCCTTGTTGCTCTCATAAGCAAATCTAATTTATCTTTATATTCAATCCTTTTTTGTTGCTGTGACTTCCGTACACTTTAACTGGGATGTGTCTGACCACTTTGTTTGCTAAGATTTGGTGAGGGGCAATCAAAAGGATGTTAAACAAGATTTTCGAGGGCCTTGAATGAAAGATAATGGAAGTTTTAAAATTTTGAATGGATTTTTTAGATGAACAGTGTATATACTTGCAGAGAATGACCAGCGGCAAGCCACAAAGAGATCTCAAATGGTGGTCTAATTTCCCATCATCCACCCTGAGAAATGAATTTCCTTTGGACATCCAGAAATGATCTGACTCATTGCCACAGGCTCAACATCTAAATTTTATTGAGACTGTATAAATAACAATGGCAAGGAAGTTGTTTAAATAGGATGATACATTTCTTGTGATTGGAAGGTGCAAGTCCTCTCCTACAAACCCTCTTTACCACTCCTGTGGGAACTGAAAAGCTGAGTTATTGGTGTGTGCTGACTCAGGACAGAGGTGGAGGGTCTTGAGAGACAGTTCTGCATACCAGGAAAACACTTTGAGAGCCAAGTAGGGTTATCTTTGAATGTTCCTTTTTCATCAGAAGAGGATGTTACCTTTTTTAAAATTCAGAAATAGAAACTGCTATATTTCGCATATGCATGTAAAAGCTGAACAATGAATAAGGAAGATCAAAGAAGAATCGATGCTTTTGAATTATGGTGTTGGCAAAGAATAGTGAATATAACATGGACTGCCAGAAGAACAAACAAATCTGTCTTGGAAGAAGTACAGCCAGGATGCTCCTTAGAAGTGAAGATGACGAGACTTCATCTCATGTACTTTAGACATGTTATCAGGAAGGACCAGCCCCTGGAGAAGGGCATCATGCT